AGGATGGCGTCTGCTGGCTTCAGGTGTGCTTATATGCTGAGATAATTGCAGATGTCGCACACCTGTGCGCAAGCTTACGCTGCCAATTAATTTCATTCATTGGCCCGTTCAATACTCTCCAGATAAGCGGCTTCTGATCCGAATCCTCCCATACATGGCACTGAAGTTCCCCTCCTCGGGGAACGAAGGGTTACTTCTGTAACCTCGAACGTTCTCCTTAAATTAAAATGTCAGTGAGTACTAACATGATAAGAGTCAAACAGAAACTGAGATACAACTTAAGTATTAATGTCAAAACCAAAAGCACATATTACTAAACAATTAGTTAAGTCATTTACCTCAACAAGTTAACTGCAAACCATTAGCCACTATACTGTAGTTTGGGGACCAGTAAACAGTCCCTATTGGTATAGCAATAATCTCTTTAAAAAATCAAATAGTTAATAATGAGAATTGGACCCGGCACAGCAGTGCTCATCAGTGGTTCCGCTATTTTCCTGGTTGTTCACATCATTTTACAGCTGCTTTTGCTGCTAACAGTATTCATACAGCTCCACGCTACAATACAGTAGTATGCTAAAAACAGTGTGTGAGCCGAGTAGTATGTCTGTATTCATAGAATTCGAAAAACAGTATACAAGAGGTACCCGGATGACCTTCTACTTCTGGCAAGATTGGGAATTGCACATCCGATGGATGCCATGTTATCCCATAATGCACCGCAACAGAACTCATAAATGGGAGTAAAGCGACACAACTGACGCTGGTAGGTCACGTGATGACAAAATGAGGGATGTAACTACTCACATTCATTCTATATAGAATAATTTTCTAACAGTTGAGTAGTAAATTTAAATTTAGTACCTACTAAGTAGTAGGCAATTTTGGACACAACCAATGAAACTAAGGAGTATATATAGTATAAACAAGATATAATTAACTAAAATACAGAATGAATGAATGTTGTGCATAAATGTGTATCACGTATTGAGGTCTTTGC